CAACCATGCCCAATTTTCAGTTTTCTGGCAGAGACAGTCCGCTGTTCATTTAATATGTTAAAATTTGACAATCCATGATGCCATGTATCCTAATTAAATGTCGAGGGCCTCTTGCAGAAAAACAGCTCCAAACCATTAAAGATTCACCACCACCAGATTTAAACATGAGCATGAGGGACTTTTCCATATAGCTTCCTCTCTGTGTGCACCAAACCCACCTCTGGTGTTTATTGCCAAAAAGCTCAATTTTGTTTTTATATGACCATAGAACGCAATCCCATTTTAAGTTCCAGTAGTTCCTGGCAAACTGAAGACAACTTTTTGTGATGTAGGTGAAGTCGGATTGTAGTATTGGAGACTTTTTGACCCCAAGATGCAACTAACTTCTGCAATTCTCCAGCTGTGATCCTTGGAGATTTTATGACCACCTGAATCATCCTTGTACATTGAGACAATATAGATACACATCCTCTTCCTGGTTGATTCCTAGCATTTCCTGTTGACTGGAACTTAATAATTGGCCTGTTTTCAATGATTTTGCTATTTTCTTGTTTTTGTCACTTCCCATTTTGTGAAGCTCAAACAACTTTTTGGCACATATCACAGCTATATTTCATGGTCTTATCCATTGCGATGAATGAGTAAGGGAATGTGTTACCTAATTTTATACCCTTGTGAAACACAAAGTCATGGTTGAACAATTTCCTTATTCCTAGTAACGCAGGTGTACTAAAAATAGGAAAATACACTGAACAAAATTATAAACGCAATATTTTGCCCCCATTTGTCATGAGCTGAACTCAAAGATCTAAGACTTTTTCTATGTACACAAAAGGCCCATTTGTCTCAAATATTGTTAAAAAATCTGTCTAAATCTGTGTTTGCCGAGATAATCCATCCACCTCACAGGTGTTGCATATCAAGATGCTGGTGTGCCTTAGGCTGACCATAATAAAAGGCCCCTCTAAAGTGTGCAGTTTTATCACAAACCACAATGCCACAGATGTCACAAATTTTGGGGGCGTGTGCAATTGGCATGCTAACTGCAGAAATGTCCACCAGAGCTGTTGTCCATGAATTGAATGTTCATTTCTCTACCATAAGCCGTCTCCAAAGGTGTTTCAGAGAATTTGGCAGTACATCCAACTGGGGTCACAACCGCAGACCACGTGTAACCACACCAGCCCAGGACCTCCACATCCAGCATCTTCACCTCCAAGTTCTTCTGAAACCAGCCACCCGACAGCTGCTGCAACAATCGGTTTGCATAACCAAAGAATTTCTGCACAAACTGACAGAAACGGTCTCAGGGAAGCTCAGCTGCATGCTCGTTGTCCTCATTGGGGTCTCGACCTGACTGCAGTCAGTCATCATAACCAACTTGAGTGGGCAACTGCTCACATTCGATGGGGTCTGGCACTTTGGAGAGGTGTTCTCTTCACGGATTAATCCTGGTTTTCACTGTACAGGGCAGATGGCAGACAGTGTGTATAGCATTGTGTGGGTGATCAGTTTGCTGATGTCAAAGTTGTGTATCGAATGGCCCATGGTGGCGATGGGGTTATGGTATGGACAGGCCTATGTTATGGGCAACAAACACAGGTGCATTTTATTGATGGCATTTTGAATGTACAGAGATACCGTGATGAGATCCTGAGGCCCATTGTTGTGCCATGCATCCAAGACCATCAAGTCATGTTGCAGCATGATAATGCACGCGCCCATTTTCAAAGGATATGTACACAATGAAAACATCCCAGTTCTTGCATGGCCAGCATACTCACCGGACATTTCACCCATTGAGCATGTTTGGGATGCTCTGAATCGGCGTATACCACAGCGCGTTCCAGTTCCTGCCAATATCCAGCAACTTCGCACAGCTATTGAAGAGAAGTGGACCAACATTCCACAGGCCACAATCAACAACCTGATGAACTCTATGCGAAGGAGATGTGTTGCACTGCGTGAGACAAATGGTGGTCACACCAGATACTGACTGGTTTTTGGACCCCTCCAATACAGTAAAACTGCACATTTTAGAGTGGTGTTTTATTGTGGCCAGCCTAAGGCACACCTGTGCATTAATCATGCTGTCTAATCAGCATCTTGATATGCCACACCTGTGAGGTGGGTGGGTTATCTTGGCAAAGGAGAAGTGCTCACTACCACAGATTTAGATAGATTTGTGAACAATATGTGAGAGAAAATTTGTGTACATAGAAAAAGTCTTAGATCTTTGAGTTCAGCTCATGAAAAATGGGGACAAAAAGTGTTGCATTTATAATTTTGTTCAGTGCACTTCAAATATATTTTTCTCATCAATTCACAGGGGTGCTAATAATTGTGCCAAACATATATTTAACAATGATTTTTTGGGGGGCTAAACCTATGTTGTGTTTGCAATTGTTTGATATCCATGAGATCAGTGTATTGTGTGTATTTATTGAACAATAGATCAAAAGGTTAAACAACAAAGCCTTCTTGGCTGATATTTACCTAGGGTACCAATATTAGTGCCAATATATACAAAGCACAAAAAACAGATGATGGAGCTTCAGTGCCACTCCCCAATTCTCTGCCATTTAGGACTTAAAGCTGACCTGGGAAAGGCCTCTAAAGGTGATGTTTCTAGTTAGGGTCCGAGGTGCAATGGAAGGTATGTGTACGTACCTGAAGCTGTCCATCACAGCCACTAACAGAAGAAGTTCTGGGGAACCCAATTCAGCTCCTGGTGTTTCCCCTGCCAGTAAACATGTGCAGGAGTACAACACCGAGATCATTGGAGAAGACTGCTGGAGTCTCCATAGATCAAGTTTTGCCATAAGAGAAACAATTCCTCAAAGTGATGGCTGCTTGGATTGGGCAAAACTTGACAGCTAAGCTCCATCTTTTGTTAACATTTGCCAACCTCAGGTTTTATCATAACTCCCTAATATGTATTTTTGGATTGCATTGGAATTCTAACACAGTCAGCATGAGTTTTTCATAAAGATAATATTTTTATGAAATACTCAGAAGTGACAGTGCCACTTTAAATCACTTTGTTTATGCAACCCCAGCCACGCCTTCCCTGACTGTGACAAAATGGTTTCAATTTTTAAACCGTTCTTATCTCCTGGTCTGTTAATTGAATTATATTCATACACATGAAAGGTGTTGCAGGCTATTAACCGGGAGATAAGAAATTTATAAGGGAAGCTAAAAAAAAGTTAGACTCTTTTTTTCAGGTACTGTATCTTGAGGCAGTAGGAGTCTTTTCCTGGGTAGGCTGCCTTCACAAATTGTTTTAACTCCTAACAGCAGAGAATTGATCAGTGAAACTGCAGGGGCATAATTTATTAATTAAACATTATATCAAAATAAACTTGTTTTGATGCTTTCAGTATCCCTTTAGAGAGCGTGCACTATCATTGCATCGACAACAAACTGTAAACTGTAGAGACATATATCTTTTTGTTCCAGAAGGTTTCCTAATCTTAGAGATTGTCCATGCCAATCAGAGATAATAAAAGCTTGTGGTCCATTACCCACTGGAAGAAGCAGATCAATGTGCAAAAAACGAAGAATCACAAACGCTGTTCTGCTTTTTCTTTTTGTTTGTATTTTAATATGGGACAAGACACTGGTGTTCTCTGATTTTATTCTAAGATGTCATTTATATTGCTCCATATTTTATATTATTTTCATCATTTATTGGTTATTTTTCACATTTTTGTGACTTGATTTTTTTTCCTCCTGAATATTATCCCAGAAAATGACCTTGAAATACAGACCAAAGTGAATAAATGCTTCATAGGAAAATCAATGCTTCGTTGAATGAGACTATTAATGACAGGTACATATATATTAAAATATATAGAAATGGATACAGAAATCTCTGTACATTGCTTATTTTTATTTATTTTTATCCTCCAAGTTTATTCTTTGCACACAAGAGCAAATTTAAATGCTGATAAAGCCTAAATTCATTGCATAAATTGCACTGTTTTATGTAACTCGCAGCAAATTGTACCCCCCTCCCCCAATTACACTGATTCTGTGCACAATTCTTAATATCTGAGTCTGATATTTTGAATTTCTCTACCAGGTACAGTGTATAGAGTACTATTGTTTTTGTTGTAAGGATTTATTTTCCTACAACCGCTTATCCATCACTAGCACTGAACACAAACCATGGTAAATTCAGTCACACAGCTTTTTATGTCTATGCACATGTTGGATCTGACCCAATACCCAGCCACGGACAGTTGTTTTAACCCTCTTGGAGCACATAAGCATTAGACATGCGGAATTCGTGAATTTCAGGAAATTCGAATGCCTCCGAATGTCCGAAGTGCAGAATTGCCAAAGTGCCGAATTTCGGAAGTGCCGAAGTGCTTTGGATTTCTGAAAAGGGGCAAAACAAGGGAGGGAAAATTACGCGAATGATGACAGGGGTAGGGTTAGGGTAGAGTTGGAGTAGGGTTAGGG